TGTGTGTGTGTGTGTGTGTGTGCGTGTGTGTGTCTGTTTTTGGCTGCATGGTACAGGGAAAACTCCAAACACAATTGAAATCCTCTTTCCTAAGTTTCGTATTTTTACTTCTTTTTCGTTTTGAAAAAAAAGGAGATCCATAAAAAAACAATGGCTGCAGCTGCTGCAAAAGGGGAAAAAAAAGAAATAAAAGGACCACCGTACAATTTGGCACTTGCGCAACAGTTCATTTTGTTCTTCGCCAGCACCTTTCTCAGTATTAAAACACAGGCTGTAAAAAAGACCACAAAAAAAATAAAAGAAAGAGAAAGGAAGAGAGAGAGAAAACAAGCGCCCAGCACCTTTCTCGGTATATTGGTTAACATAATGTGCAGTGCATCTTTTCTGGTCAGTTCAATATCTGAGCCGCACCGGACCACATAAAAAACTTCAAAAAAGCACCAAAATAAATTTCCAAAAAAAAACAAAAGGCTCACCTGCTCATTCACAGCTGGGATCTTTCCCGTTGTGGGATTAAATCGCACTCCTGCTTTGTCCAACCCCTGCAGAAAAGGGAAAACAAAAAAAACCAAGTTCATACTACTTCAAACAAAGGCATACTTGCGGTGCACATCGGGCGCGCCGCTGCGCCCACACATGTACTGCTGGTCAAATTGGTCGATGTAAGAAAGGGGGGCGGGGCAGAGTGCACTGGCACGCCTTGCACCTGCCCTCATAAAATTACAAGCTGCAAACCAAAAAAAAAAGGAAAAAAAAAGGCAGGCCACAATCAACAGCGGCCCCTAACAATGGCCTGGCCTGTTAAAAAATTCACTCAAAAATTCAAAATATAATATATATACAACGATTACAAACTATGTTTCAGGTCCGGTACAGTTATGATGAGCGTGTGATTGTGATTCTCCAATACGGAGCTTTTCCTAAACTTGCGATGAGAGGTTGTTGTGTTCTCAAATGCATACAAGTTATCTCACCTCTCTCTCTCTCTCTCTCTCTCTCTCTCTCTCACACACACACACACACACACACACACACACACACACATGTTCAGCTGGCATGCTCGCGTGGCTGCCAGATGACGAGTGAAAACAACTCTGAAGTTGAGTTACCTGGGGCTGGTCAGTTCAAGATGATATCACAAGGCTGTAACCCTTTTTTTCTCTCGAGTTCCTTTTTTTTTCACGATTTTGTTTTGGAGATGATATGTACTACAAAAGCCATATCTGAGTTGCCGGAGAAACCCAAGAGATCGACAGCATAGCAGATTCAACGCATAACAGAGTCACAGGGGCAACCAAAGAATATGATGGGCTTTGTTTTTTCCTTTAATACTGGTCCACAATAACGACCACTGCCATTCATAACAACAAAACAAAAAAGCAAACGGCCTAGAGAAAAGGATGTGGGCATCGAGCTCCAGTACGGGGTTTCTGTAACCTTTGAATGGTTTCATCTGGGTGAGAGAGAGAGAGAGAGAGAGAGAGAGAGAGAGAGAGAGAGAGACAGACAGACAGACAGACAGACAGACAGACAAAGAGACCGACACCGAGACAGACAGGGAGAGAGAGAGAGAGAGAGAGAGAGAGAGAGAGAGAGAGAGAGAGAGAGAGAGAGAGAGAGAGAGAGAGAGAGAGAGAGAGAG